TTTTTTATTAATAAATGCCGCGTCTGACTTTTGGGGTGGCATTTTTATATAAAAAATTAATAAAAATTAATTTTTTTTTAATAAATGCCACATCTGACTTTCGGGTAGCATTTTATTATTAAAATTTAATTTTTTTAATAATAAATGTTGTGTCTGACTTTTGGGGTAGCATTTTTATATAAAAATCAATTTTTTTATTAATAAATGCCGCGTCTGACTTTTGGGGTGACATTTTTATATAAATAATTAATAAAAATTAATTTTTTTATTAATAAATGCTGCATCCGACTTTCAGGGTGGCATGTTAATATAAAAAATTAATAAAATTAATTTTTTATTAATAAATGCTGCATCCGACTTTCAGGGTGGCATTTTATATAAAAAATTAATGAAAATTATTTTTTTTATAAATAAATGCTGCGTCCAACTTTTGGGACGGCATTTTATTATTAAAATTTAATTTTTTTATAATTAATTTCGCGTCTGACTTTCAGGGTGGCATTTATTAATAAAACAATTGATTTTTATTAATTTTTTATATTAAAATGCTGATCTGAATGTCGGAGGTGGATTTTTGTTAAAAAAAATAACAGAATTGTTATTTTTTAACATTAAACGCTGTTCCAAACGTCGTTGGCAGATTTTTGTTAAAAAAACAACAAAATTGTTGCTTTTTAATGTTAAAATGCCGTTCCGAACGTCGGAGGTGGATTTTTGTTAAAAAAACAACAATTTTGTTATTTTTTTAACATTAAAAGCCATTCTGAACGTCAGAGGCAGATTTTTATTAAAATACCATTCTGAACGTCGTTGGCAGATTTTTGTTAAAAAAACAACAATTTTGTTATTTTTTAACGTTAAAATGCCATTCTGAACGTCAGAGGCAGATTTTGTTAAAAAAACAACAATTTTGTTGTTTTTTAATATTTAAACGCTGTTCCGAACGACGAAGGTAGATTTTTGTTAAAAAAACAACAATTTTGTTGTTTTTTTAATGTTAAAACACCGTTCTGAACAGCGGAGGCAGATTTTTGTTAAAAAAATTTTTTGATCCGTCAGATACAGATACGGATTTGGATTTGTCAGATTCAGATACGGATTCAGATTCAGATTTGTCAAATTCAGATCGAATCAGATTTAGATTTGTCGAATTCAGATCGAATTAGATTTGGATTTTTCAGATTCAGATCAAATCAGATTTTGCCCAAATCTGATACGATCCGATCTGTGTAGAACACTAAGTACAATAATATAAATTTTGACCAAAATTTGGATTTCTTCCTTTTCTACTGACCACCTCTCATATGCTTCTACTTTGGATATATTTATTAAGCATTTAAGAGTATTTATATAATCTTTAGTTGAATAAAGATATCCTTTTTTTTAAATCAACAAGTTTTGTATTTTTTATGTTTTGATTAGTCTGATGTTATTCAATCCTATAATCATAGTTATGAATTAAAAAACATTTAACCTATTCATCATTTTTCAAATATAAACATTAATTTAGAAAATATTTGCTTTTGTTTTACATAACTAAATCACAAATAAGAAAAGAAATATGAGTGTACATATTTTATAATAATGTTTGAATCGATACCCTTTTCATTATAGATGCTTTTTTTTAGTTAGAATTATTAAATGGCATTTTTGGTAAGGTTTTAAAAGTATTATCCCTTAGATTGTAGGATTTCGCAGGAAAATTTGCCTGCTTATTTACTATAAATACTCTTCTGATTTACTTTTTATAAATAATTAATATTTTAAAAAAATTTTTTTTTTTTAAATTAATTTTATAAATATATAATAATATATTATAATAAGTTTTTTCTTTTAATTATATAATAAAAAATTTAATGTTACTTAAAAAATTGTGTATATTCTTGTGAAGTAAATTGTGTTCTGATTAGTAAACATACTTATCATTTCAAATGTTTTTTATTCAAATTAGAAAGTTGATATAAATACTGCATTGAATAGTTTATAAATGGAATTGAAACAAATTGTAAGGCTTTTCAAAAAATTTTGAATTTATTGAATATGTAAGTAAATGATGAAAGTATTGATGAAACAGATATTACTAAAATCAGTAATAATACTAATATTAATAATAAAGATTTTTTATTAGATATAAATATAGATTATTATAATATGAGTGAGAGCTTGTCAATAGAAAGGGAGGAAATCTAAAAAAAAAAAAAAAAAGTTTTTATGAGTTAATATTAAATTTGGACTTATTTTACTAAAAAAAAAAAATCATATTTAGCATATAAAGTAAAATTTTAATTTTTTTAGATTTCCTCCTTTTCTATTGATAAGCTTCCAATATGAATTTACTTTTTAAGAGAGCCAAAAATACTTTAACGAATGTATAATTCAATAATTTTATTACTGATAAGGTTGTAATTTCAATAATAAATTTAATATTTCTATAAATGAGTAATAAATTTAATTTATTGGAAATTTGTTCATTATATTTTTTTTTCTTCTTGAGCTAAATCATTCTTTGATTAGCTATATAAAAGTTTACTTATGAATTTTTTTTCATGTAAATGTCGAACCCATAATATTTTCCTATATGATTTAATTTACTGCATATTATGTCATAACATATTATTTATTAAAATATTTGATGCAACTTCCTCTCCAAATGGTGGAGACGGATTATCCTTCGTTTAAACCTTTTAGATAACGCCTAGTTGTAGTAAGGACCTCTTTATCAGATAATTGTTGAATTACAAGCTGTTAATTTATTTCATTGCCTATCCACTTCATTTTTCTTATTGTCATTTTTCTTTGCTCTGACTTTTGAGCTCTAATTTCACGTGCTTTTTTTAACTGACAAGCTCACCTTGAAATTGAAGCCATTTCCATTAAAAAATCTGAAATCTTAAAAATTTGATAACTTTGTATTAATTACATTCAAAGAATGTAAAAAGTTAAAACAATACGATAACTAAAGAAAGATGTAACAGAATACTTTTTTGAAAATACTAAAGAAAAAAATTATTTTACTATGTAAATATATCTGTGAGTGTTACTTTATTATTTTCGAAGTGTGAAATGGTCTTTTTTTGGAAAAAACAAACTGTTACATAAAAGAGAAAATTTTGCAGAATTTGGAATATAAATAATATAAGAGTTCAAAATTATCAGAAATTTAAAATGCATTGGTTTAATAGGAAATTTATTATGATCTGAAAAAAAACTCAATCAGTAAACTTTTATACAGGTCGGGTCCATAAATAGTTTTGATTTGATTAGTTGGCAGCGCACCCTAATTCATAGCATCCCAGGATTTAGCACATTTATTTTTATGTAGTTATCATTTACAGAAAATGTAGAAAATGTACGGAATTAATCAATTTATCTTTCTAGCCCTTTTCATTTTATCCTTACTGTAGCTAAAGTAGTACCAGGTGGAAAATGTTTATGAACTTCATCATTTAACTTCTTTCGCATCTTCTTTTGCCATTTCTTTATTAATTCATTAAGACGAATGGTTAGTGCTAAACCAAATTCATAATAACAATAGATGATCTGGGAATCAGCCTTGCCAACTTTTCGACATATTTTGCGTAAAAAACTCAGAGGGTGATAATTATCCTAAGGAAATACTTCTAACGCATTGTTATCAACATCCATTACTTCAGTTGACACCTCACGTATAAAGCTAATAATTTTTCTTCTTTACTCATATTATTAAAGCCAAGTCATTCGTTAATATAGTCTTAGCATTCTAGGCATCGTTCATTGCGAATTGTAGCTTTATGGCAATACCTAATGTGAAAAACATGCCCACACAGGAACAAGGTAAGCGAGTTTATAATTTCCCTCCTTACATTCTAAACAAGATTCAGCTCTAGAAGGAAAACCTCTCTATAGAGTAAATTTGATAGAAGTAGCACAATGGATTCTTAGGACGCATAAAGGTGAAAATAAGTTAAACTTACAGTATTGATAAACTGAAAATCCATCATGATTCCTTAAATGCTGTGTGTCATTTGACAAGCGTGAAGATTCTTCAACTATTTCTTCACCAATAAAGACGTGGTATACTTTACTCATAATTATTTATATGATCTAATTAAATAAGTGATTAACATTTTTTTTGTACGTTTTCATCATTTTTATATATTAATTGTATAAAAGATTTATGTTTTGATGTTTTCACATTTTTATTTAAAGAAATTCTAAATATTTTGCATGTTTTTTTAGTCTATAAAAGAGTCGATAAATAAAAATTCATTTCAAAATGAACAAACAAAATTTTTACAAACAAAAAAATATAAAAATTTATGTACTAAAAGATATGCTGTAATAAATAATTCTGCGTTGTAACAGTGTAAAATTTTGGCTAAAATCTGATTACAAATCCAATGTCAATTAAATGTCCTTGTTTACATTTTG